GGAGGCCGGGGGGCGGACAGGTCTCATTGGTGTCACGGTCCGGTGGCACCTGGGAGTTGTGGGCTTGCGCATCATGTTCGCGGGCGCATACGGGGGGGGGGGACCGCCGCTCTCCCACTCAGAGCCCGCAATCTGCCGGGGCTCCGCCTGTCCAGTGTCTAACCATGCAACCGCCCCCCGCCCCCTTGCCCGTGTTCCTCCTCCCTCTGGTGGGGTCCCCGCGCGTGTGCGCGCCCCACCGGCATCCCGGCCGCCCGTCGCCATATCACAACCGACGTGCCCCGCCGCCTCCCCCCCCCCCCGGCACAGGTGGCTGATGACCGGACTGGGCGTGGTGTTCCTCGTTGTGTCGGTGGTGTACCTGATTTACGAGGAGACGTGCGGCCGCCGGCGCCGGCAGCAGCGCGCCCTGGCCAAGCAGCAGCAGCTGGCCAACAAGCAGGCTAAGAAGGCCAAGAGCGCGGCCGCGGCCGCGGCAGCCGCGGCCCCGGTGGCCGCCCAGCCGGTGATGGCTCCGGCCCCGGCTCCGGCCCAGCCGGCGTCGGCCTTCGCGGCACCGGTCACCGAGGTCCCGGTCACCCCGTCGGAGATGATGCGTGCCCGTGCGTCCCGCCCCCTTGGGGTTGTCGTCTCGCACTGTGGCGGGCAGATACTCCCCTTGATCTCCGTGGCGCCCTGTGCTCCTCGCTCGCCCCTGCTCGGCTTTTTTTTTTCATCTGCACGCCCTGTCACCTCATGTTGCCCATGACCAATGGCTCCCTCCCATCCCCCCCCCCCCTCCGCGCCCGCTCGCCCGCTCGCCCGCCCCACCCGGCCCCCCGCCCGCGGGTGGGCATATCTCCTCCCGATGCGCCGCTGCCCTTCGGGGCGCATATGGGTGTCCGTGTGTGTGTGCGCGCCCGGGGCCGGCAGTGCATGAGCACCATTACGCCAACCTGGCATCCGGCCGGCCGAGCTCCAGCGCAGGGCCAGTGCACTATCCCTCGCCCTACTATCGCTAGACGCCTCCATTAGTACCCCAGACCGCGCTCAAGCATATGGGCCCCAATGTCTGTCTGTCTGTGTGTGTGTGTGTGTGTGGGCGCGCGCGAGAGGAGGAGGAGGGCGCATCATCCCGGAGTCCGTGCGGGGGAACACGCTCGAGCGACGCGTCCGGAGGCTGCCAGAAATACGGTCCTGCCTGTGCCCCCGCCCCCTCGGGGCCCGCCCGCCCGCCCGCCAACTGTGTCTTCCAGCGGGAGAGATGGCGAAAAAGGGACCACCCGCAAGGCCCACCCTGTGTCGGGCGGGCGGCGGCACATTTCGCCGCACCCCTGCGGGGGAAGAGACGCGAGCCCGCGCCCCGCCCCCCGCCCCGTCCCGGCGCGCGCGCCGCCTCTCGCCTCGTGGGCTTGGGGCTCGGCGATAAAAGAGCGCTGCCATTTTGTATCGGCCCCCCCTCCCTCCCCACCCAAAATCCCCCCAACGCG